GGGGGCGAAAAATAGAGGTCTGTTGTGTTGGCTCTGCCTGGTCGCGCGGATCGCGGATGGCCCGATAGAATCAATCACACCAAGCCCAAAGTCGCGACAAAACAAACCAGCAGTAGCTAGACCCCCAAAAAAGGAGAGTTCCAAAAACCCTTGTTTCCAACAATGTGCGAAATAGCAATTAGTTAATTTTTTTGCTTGTATCGCATTCAATGTCAGTCGGGAATATAGCCTACGCGCGTGTGGTTGCAGAGGGAAAAGTTTCAAGTCAGGTGGAAACTCTCTAGAAAATTGGAAATATTAGAGCAGGTGGGGGCAGGAGAGGGAGCAACCTGTTCTTGGATTAACCTGATTGGCGCAGAGCCAACTGCCACGGCGTAACCTACTGAACTAAGCACAACGCGAAGCCCAAGAGACAAGACAACTAGCGAATAGTCGCCAGGGTTCACCATGCCCATACGTATCTCAAACCTAAGCGAGAGCAACACATGGCCGATCCCATCGACGAAACCTTCTTTCCTATTTACACTCTTCATCTTCTATGACCTTTTGGTCATCTCTCAGGTTGGGTTAAAAAATTTCTATCAAGAATAATAATAAAATGAAAATATGGTTCAACAGACAACTGCCGGCAACCTGCACAAAACTCATGGGTTGAATGAACAAGGTTTGAGAGCTGACAAGAGTGAAACTGTCAAAGTGTCGGGCGCGTCCACCGTCCAGCTGGATGCCACAGATCAAACCTGCCCACAAAGCTAGGTGGGCTTACTAGGATCCGCGATAGGGCACTTGTTGCTCAACTAGCAGCCCTAACAAAAACATGGATCGGCTCTGGAGTTTCGTAGTAAGGGTTTTTCCTTTTTTTGTTCCTTTTTCTTTGCATTCTAGGTATTACATTTGCATTTGAATTGTAATACAATTAAAGGGCACGATGCGAAATAGCTCGTTATCATCATGACGTCCGAGCATTCCAAGGATATTCTGGGCCTTTGCGCAAAACGCCTCACCGTACGATACGACATGTAAGACCCTGACTCCAACAACCAAACTGGAAGTGTGTCGGGAATTGCAGTGCAAAATGGGACTAATCCCCCCTTGGCAACTCTAGATGACCTGCAGCATGGCTCGTTTAACTAGTTGTCAGAAAAAAAAATTAACAACGTTGCGCTACTAGCCTTCTCGATTCAGTAATCGGAGAGTTGTGGGCATACTCGACACGCTGCTTGCATTTAGATTATATTCCGTGAGTTGATAAGGTTAGGTAGGATAGACACTGGTGGAATAAACAAAAATAACCCAAAATCTACTATGATGACGCCTCAGCTGGCATACTCCAACTCAGCGCAGAGATAATCAACAAAACTCGATACCGCCATGGAGCTGATTGCGCCTGATAACGCCGAACTGCCTGCTGAGTTTCCTGCCAAGGAAAGGGAAAAAGGAGACGGTAAAAAGAACCCATGCACGCCTGACACCCAACCTAACGCCATTCATGACAGATATGGACTCATAATAAAATAACAATCATTATCTGACAGCCTCGGAACCTGTCTCAGCACTGGCCCCCCGATAAACTAACCTTCCAAAGTCTAAAGGTGCTTGCTTTACCCATGACCCACACTGCTCAACTCTTAAAGAGTAAAAATAAAATTTGAGGCCACATGTGCAGCTCCTCCTGACATTAATCGTTGTTTCGCTATCGGTTGAGAGTGCGTGAGAATAAGAACGCACTCAGGCCAATTCCTCTCAAATATGATTGAACTCTAAATCATATATAATTAAGACGAATTCCAGACAAGTGGAAGTAGAGCAAGGAGAAGAAAGTCCTCAAATTAGCAATAACTTATACCCGTTGGTTGTAATGCATGGGAGAGGGGGAGCAGCCCGGATTAATTAATGGCTTCAGTCAGGGACTTCGCGGTATGGAAGATATGCAGCCCATTCCGCAATGAAACCAGTGGTCAGTTGTCATTAGTTAGACTATCTAACTATCGTGCCAACTAACTGGTTTTTTTTTTTTTTTTTTTTTTGGCAACCACCATTGAAATGAGCCTCTCGACTTCGTGTTACGTAATATAGACATAATAGCACACACCTCGGCTTAGCGTTCGTGTAACCTTTTGTATCTAGCTTGTGGTAATCATTTTTGAGAAGTTTTGTTGGGCTTGGCGTAAAAAATATATTGTGATTATATCTTTCTGAAGAATGGTAAAAAAGAAATAAAAAAAATTTAAGAGCAATAGCAGAGACACTACCTCGGCTCTAGTTAGCTTCTAATCGCTCGCCGCACGGTACATATAAAGCTATAACCAATAGGACAAACTACTTCTAGACTGCCATAAAATAGATACATCATGTACCGTGACTTATGTCCCAACTCAAGCGCTTTCAAATAACAGGCTTAACCTGTCACAACCTGTATTATTTCATTTATTTCGAGCCAAGTCCCCTACAAGCACGCAAGAGCCTGGTAGGTTTCTGAAATATAACCCAGCCAAAAAGCAGATCTACCGCGTGAATCATTGCCGCAAGCCGTAGCTCTACCCTGGCTGCCTGGGTACGTAGCGGTTCCCCTGTTATTGTTAGTATAGGTGAATCACAAATTCACAAATATTTTGGCGTGCAGAATACGAGGCTGGAAGGGTTCTGCCGCCTTACTAAGAAGGATGAGTATCATGGTAGATTTGACAATCAACCTATATCTCAGGTCTAATTCGTCGTGATAAAAAAATTTAAACCAATAAGGCTGTCCCGTAATAGTGACACGCCTATCAGATCAAATCACCATCTACTATTCATAGAAGGCAATAGGCTCCGTGCGGTTGTGCCGGTTGCATGGCCCTGAACCATGCAAGAGATAAGCTCTCGGCCATGGAGGTATAGCGGATAACCTGCTTCCAACCAAATATTAGCCGATACCATAGATTTCTCGATGTCTCGTAGAAGATCGCCAAGGCCGTAAGGTATGGCTGATTTGTGAGCCCTGACTCCACTGCAGAGCCTGACATTCAGTTGATTGCAGCAATCGGTTGTCAGTCGGTGCTTATTTGTAGCCGATCATAAGAGTATTGCGATAGGAGATACCTCCGAATTAGAGGAATCATTCATATCGCTCTGGAGCCCCATAGAATACTGGAAGCAAGGTGCTAACTTTCATCCACCACGTCCGCCACCACGCCCTCCTCTACCACCACGGCGGCCGCCACGACCGCCACGTCCACCCTGGGGTTTCCTTCCTTTCTTTCCACCTCTATTTGACGGCCCATCGAATCCCTCATAAACCCTCTCCTCTCCGAATGCCATCTCTGTAAATCGAATGTAGCTGATAAACCCCCTGTCCACAACTGCCATAATTGCATTGCGCCACCCGTGCTTGAGCCTTCGGTACATGAATCCAATGCCCCTGCCAGCTGCTAGTTTTTCATCCGGGGGTTCAGATGGAGTGGAATCCAAGAGTGCGGAAATTTGCGACAGGCTTGGCACTGAGCTGACTCGAGCATCTACAACTGCGATGCGGAAGTCTGGCGGTGGGAGATGGGCCTTGGTAAACCCTGGGCGTGACTTATAGACATGAAAGAAAATCCTGAAAGGTGCCTCTGGCTCCACGTTGGTGTTCGCCGCAAGAGATGGCTTGTGCCTCTGTATAAGCTCAAGTTGCCTAAAGACAGGTTGGTAGGAACGGTAAAGGCCAGGTCGCACTAATGGTCCGAAGGGGGGATGTTGGCTTGGTCGACTGGTCTCGTCGGTAGATAAAAGGGCGATCAACCATTGCCAGATAGTACGAGAAGAATAACCTGGAGGCTGGGAAGCTGGCGGTGGCTTTGAAGGTGCACGAAAGACGAGGTACCCAGAGCGTCGAAGGTTGGCATAGACTTGATAATGCTGAAGATTTATCTTGCCTTGCTTACCGTTCTCACCAATAAGAAGTGCATACGCAGCTTGAAAGCTCAGAGGCAGACCGAAATCGCTAAGATCCTGGGCGGACGGGCTTCCCACGGGAAAGATGTCCTCGATCCCTCGCTCTGGCCACCAAAGCTGCATGTCTCCTCGCTCAATCAGATATAGAGCTTCTTCAGGCAGCAGCCAAAGCTTGTCCCACGCAGGAGTATTCTTGCTAACGCCCTTCAAGACTCTTCCGGTCGTTTTGGTCATTGCTCCCCTGTCGGTCTCGACGACCACTACTCGCTGACGCTTGAGCAACCCGCCATCGTCTTCCTCGGTCTCGTCTCCCTGCGTCCAATGCTCTGGAAAATACCAACCCCTCAAGTACTGCGAAGGATTGTGGGCGCGGGAGTAGCTCAAGGTCTCGTGCATTGCCTGGCGGCTGGCCTCGAGATAGTTCTCCTGCAGTCGGGTGCCGTGCGACTCGAAATCCTTCTCGCCTTTCCTTATCCTCGAGCTCGATACTTGTGTTTTCTGGAGAGCCGTGGCAAACTTGCGAAAGTCCTGCACTTCGTCCTCGGCGTCATCTTCGGCAGTAGGCACCTCCTCTGTCGCATCGGCGCCGGAAACTTGAGGTGCGGCGGACGTCGGGTCCTCGTCGTCAAATGCCATTGTACATTAACGTCAATGGGGGTTGGGGATTGTGGTGGGCAGATCAATAAGTCTTGCAATGGGCTTCTGCAAGAGTAGTTGTTTCCTCAGCTTTTCTCTTTTCTGCCCTTTTTTTTTTCCCGCTGTAGTTGTCCCTAGCTTAACCACTGGAACTTTGGCCTTGCGATAAGATAAAGTTTTCGGGTTGCGTGCCGAATGCAGGGTAGCTGGTGGCCCAAAATGGGGACGTGTCGCAGCTGAGCTTGATCTGGTGTGCCCTTCAATTTCGCGGGGTAGCTGTTTGGGAGTTGCTCTGCTAGAAGACCTAGGTACAGAGTTGTTAACAAGTTCGCCAATGTCACATTGGTTGGGCAAATTTTTGGTGGGGTGAGACTGGGTGTCTCACTTTTGCCCCACTACCACAATGACGCCGAATAGTCAATGATAAGTTCCCGCTTTCAACAACCAATGGTGAGATGGCCGAGTGGTCTAAGGCGCTGTGTTTAGGTCCAAATTCGTACTACTCAATCAAGCGTAGTATGGGTTTAGCTAAGCGAAGGATATTCCGCAGTGGGAAACCGCGTGGGTTCGAATCCCACTCTCATCATAACTTTTTGAAAATATTTCTTCCTGGTTTTTTTTCCTTTTCCCTTTTTTTCTTTTTTTTTTTTCCTAGAGAAAATTTTTATTAATTTCAGAGATTGTTGTTGTTCATTGAGTGAGAGCCAATGGAAGAAGAAGTTGAGAGAGACGAAGAGTGTGTGTGTGTGTGAGTGAGTGAGGTGCTACTTTGGATTGCTTATTTATTCTGACTATCGGCGATTTATCTGTAAGAAGAGCTTGCTTGATTGATATTGATTGACTACCATAGATAGCTGAATGGAAAGGAAGGAAGGAATAATGAACTGGTTCGTTTTCGGACCAGTTTCTTTGCATTCAGCAAGCAGCGTTGCTTGCGCCTAATTAAAATTGAATATAAAGCGATAGATAAATAACTCTTAATGGATACTACTGGCTGGCCTACATATATATATATATATATATATATATATGCTAGATACTGGTTTCATCAGTCAGGTGGGTGGTAGACCATCACTCCATATTTTTTTTACTATATTTATTACTTACTCCATCCCTATCCTAGGGTTTCTGTATATATATAGTCTGTGTGTGTGGTAAGTGTAGTCAGGGGGCATGGCATACACCTTGACAGTCCGCCATGCGGTTGTCGCCTCCTTCCCCTTTGCCAGCCAAGTATACTACACATTATATATATATGTAGTAAATAAACAACCTTAAATCATCAAGAGTGGCTGCGAAATTTCAACTCCAGATGAAACACCACTTTAAGCACTCGGTCGTAGCCTAGATTAGCAATAATAATTAATATCTTACAACCATACAGTGTCAACCCCCCCTTCCTGAGCTACAAACACACACCATCACTTGTAGAGACTGCACTAGCGAAGTTATTTGCTCATCTTTCGGGTTATTCTCGATCGATGTGACACGCACCACATCCAGGAGGGCCTGTCCGCGAATTGTAGTCATACAGTATAGAATTTATGTACACACATTTGCTTGGTTTCGTTAAAGTTATCCAGCGTATTCATAACGTAACGCACAGATGCTGTCCTTCAGATAATCCAACTCTGGGCTTCTTATATAAGACGAACAGATGACGACAGTCGAGGCGACCAGGTTCTCCAAGCCCCTTGAAACCTAAAAATCGTATAAGGCCGCTGAAAATGCAGACATCCTATCCTACGAGCGCCCTCCATATCCTGAACGCCGCCCGCAGTCCAAAATCTGGTGTAAAACCCTATCCTCCCTAAAATGCTCTCTGATCTGCAAACTCGTTACGCTTTAAGCAGCGCATGTCATGAATATGATTGTGATGCCCAACATGTTGCTCAACCTGCTAGTTTTGAAAGGTATGAATCAAAGGCTAGGAAGATCGACCCTCCTATCGGCCTCTGCCGTTCCTGGCGTTGGGATCACGGTTCCAAATTTCTTAGGTATCCGTTGGTAAATTACCATTATATATATCCTCCTCATTCCGTGGCTACACATGTAGCTTCATCAATAATTAATCAATGTCGGCGTTGCTGCCTTCCACGTAATTACTGGGTTGTGGAGACATATTGCACTTGTGTGGGACAATCCAGCTCCAAAGGAGCGATTCGTACCTCGTCCAGAGATAAGGTATCCGCAAATGTTCAAAACTCGTTGCTTGCCGAAATCAAGCCGAGTGAAAGTGGCATCTGGGGACCGTTCTGGATCGAGGTACTGAGGCCTGCGGAAGGAGAATTTCAGGTTGCCTTAATAGCATTGCTACTCAGCGAACTGTAACGTTCAAAGCTGCTCGCATTAGGTGCCTGGCTCCTTGGGAAAATGTCGTACAGGGTAAACCATACATAGTCCAACCCGAGTGTTAAAAAGGTGGTCATTTGCCGGGCGTGCTAATATCACTCGATCAACGGCTTCTTCTGTCCCCCAACGATGCACAGGCCGAGAGTTCTTAAAGCGTTATGGTCATTAGCCAAAACGATTGTCCTTGCTGGGACCATGGGGTTATGAGGGTCAACTGAAGAAGCATCCTTGGCCGCTTGCTCGATCGCATCCATTTCCTCTTTACACGCTTGGTGATCCATTGGGCATATGACGATAGGTTGTCTCAACGTGATATCGCGAGCTGAGGTCATGTGGGCCTGATATCCGTCCAAGTTAGCATATGCTACAGCCTCTATTCTATCCTATATCTTTTTTCCTCCTTCTGTTCACGTACCTTGATGGTTAAGAAGAATTCGATTTTGTAAAGGGTAGAGGTCGTGGTAAATGAGGTAACTTCGTAGTTGGGAAATGCTGGCTGTCCTCTCCGCACTATGCCCTGTGAATCCCGGAGATCCTTATGTGGGAATATGACGCCCATGTTGGTCACGTAGCCGGCTTCCGGCAACTTGGTGCCCACTGTCTGAACATGCTTGTGGAGGCGGTTAACCTCCTTGGTCGGTTCATCGCCCTCAGGGTTATACGTGATTTCCTCTTCGATGGCCAGGGTGATTTTCTGGATGGTGACCTTCCTAGCCTTTGCCATCCAGTCGAGATTTGGTGCAATCTTGATGTATACTGTTATCGGGTCTGTCGGACCATAGCTCCACCGCGGTAATGATATTCCCAGCGTGACTATATTGTCGACCGTTGCGATCTTCGTTTCGGGTCGATTATACATTCCAAATGTCGACAGCGTATCATATCTCTGCAAGGGTATCGGGAATGCATATTTGTTCTGCACACTCTGCCCTTGCTGGACCGTGACCACCAGCTCATAGTATGTCTCAGCTGTTCTGCTTCCTAGTTGTAATGAAGCGGGGGGTATCCTCCTATTCGTCTCTTCTCCTCCTCTTCCAAATGGGATAAACAGTACGAAAGGTAGGTCCATCGCCACAACACTCTCAGCTTCCTTGCCCGAAGCGCATCTAAACAGCAGCAACTCTTTGCCCACCACATCTGTCGTGTCTCGTCGTGGGGTGCCTAGATGACGCTTGGCTACATTTTTGGCCGCCGGGTGGATGGTTTCCCTTCGTTGCAGACATATGCGCACGAGAGAGACAGCTACCGGAGCAGAATATCCTTGTGATGGTCGGATCTCAACCTTTCCTTCGATGCGCGGCTGTTTTTAGTTCTCGAATTAGCAATGGTATTCCCACTTCTCAAAGCTCGTAAGACATAATGTTTAGCGAATGGGAAAGTGCGTTTTCGCAAAGCCATGAGGTGTGGCTTTCAGCTTGGATGAATCCCCACTTGAGTTGCAGGGTGAACAGAGAGGTCGGAAGCATGGCATGAGGAGCATTTTGCACAACTGTTGACTGGATCGCACAAGTCGTCGGATTATGACGAGCTACCAGGCAGGAGAGGTGTTCTACGTACCAAGGTCGCTGATATGCCCGGATACCCAACCAGAAAGCTACTATTTGGTGGCCCAGACACCCGTACGAACGCCGGTATCTTGTCGGCCATGACTTGATCGCGCACTCCAGGCGGCCGATGTTGGACTAGCACGGGACAGCGCCTGCAATGGGTGAGCCTCGTATGAGATTTGGAGCCGTAGCATGTATTCTCCTCGATCAGCCCGTGGCCGTCGGCGAACTTTTGGTGAAGGTGGGGAAGTGGAGGAGAGGATCGTCGTCGTCGTTGTCGTCGGGTTTGGCTTTGGCGTTGGCGTTCACCGTCTGCGCTCGACCGCAAAAGCGAAAATTCAGGCCGTGGAGGTATTGGAAGGATAGAATGATTGTTTGCCCGTGTGTTTCGTGCACTACTACATGTCAGACTCCCCCAGCGTGGGAGAAATCGTTCGGGATTAGGCGCTGGGTCGCTCGGAGTGAGATTCCCTCAGCCGCGTCGCTTGGTAGGGCTCCCGCTAATAGCTAATCGAGTAATCGAGGAGGGATGGAGCATGGGCAAGCTTGGGTGTGTGGTTAACTTATTGGTCTCCCAGCACCCAGGACTGACTGGACTGGAGTGGATTTGCGCAAATGGGAGACGCTACAGCGGGTTTTTGGCACTTCTGCGAAGACCCAGCTTCCAGCGTTCAATTCCGCTACCCACCCAAAGTAGGTACTGTACATAAGGGCCAGGGTAGTGGGAGGGGGGGCGCCAAAGTGGAGGAAGTGAGTGTACGACGGCGATGCGGAGAACGCTGCACATCAACTATGTACAAAGGTAGGCTCCACGTCCGCGGGCGCTTACCAGTCTAATTGAACACTCTACAAAGACAACCGCGAAACACGCAAACTAAACAAACCAGCAGCTCCGCGCAGAAGCGGCACCTTGACAGTCAGTTATTTACTCTTTCTTTTTCCTGGATACTAATCATATTGTGCCCTGCTAGCCTTCGGTGACGGGTGGCGGGCCCTGGAAACTGCACACGAGGCCTGGTGTGAGGTGCAGTCCGCTGGCTGCAGGACTGTTAACGCAATTCAGCTAGGATCAGCCCTAAATTGTTCTGAGTTGCTGAACCCTGGCTGATCCTATTCCAAGGTGTGGTGCTGCTGCGGTGCCCAGCCCCGCTCAAGGCTGTGCTATGTTGGGGGTCGAAAGTCTTAGCTGCACGGACAAAGTGACAACTTCACAGTTCAACATTTAATAATCTCCAAAAAAAAAAAAATCTTAAATAAAAAAAATTGCATGTGGACAAATTTCAAGAACATGTCGGCCTCAATACCAACTGACTTTTTGGGATTTATTGCCAAATGAGAGGGGGGCGTTTTTTGCAATGTCGGCTCGGTAATGGCCTGCATGCCCTCGGTTCCAAGCTCAGCTACAGATTCCCCGAGTCTGCCAGCGAAGCAAAGGAAGAACGAGCTGGTGAGCGATGGGGAGATCTGGTTCTGAGACTGCTCAACCCTCAGAAAGGCTCGTCGGTCATTGCCAGCTACAATATATCTATCTCTATAGGATGTATGTGGTACTCAATGGCCGTTCCCAGGTCATCTCCCAGCCGGCATATTGAATCCAAACACTTCGCTGCCCGGGTGCGTCCACGGGGACGGGACGGTACGTTTTCAAACACCAGCTAGCTAGTCCCGAAACAAATCGCTGGACAGT